TCTCTTCCCAAAACCTAGTATCTACTACAAAGGGGTAAAGTCATCATCATTTCTCTATCTTCAAGAGCTCTCTCCAACTTTGATATCTTCATCACCCATTCCTCTTTCCAACTTTGAAAGTGAAAATGTCCACCCGCAGAATTATCGGCAAATGATCCACTAGAGCTTCTTCATCCCATGCAGGTCCATCATCTGCAGCTATTCCGGCAACGACTGTGTCACTTGTTCCACCTGAATTTGTTGAGATCTATGACAAAAACTTCAGTAAGCGATCTGTCGTAAAGCAACATGCGCACTAACGTCTGTCTGGTGAGCGTATGCACATCCCACAAATAATCAATCTTCTTGATGCTCAAGCGTTTAATAATTTCTTAGAGTGCAACACAAAATACAATGAAGACCTGGTAAGGGTATTCTACATCGACCTTCAAGGAAAGTTTGAAGATTTTGAGTTCAATACGAAAGTCGGAACTACAAAGGTATGTGTTAACGACTCCGTTTGGCTATGAGTTTAAAGAGTCTTTGAACTCAATTCTGAAGAAACCTTATGCAGATGACATTGTGGCAAGTGATCTTTTTCCCAAGACTGTCACTACGGGAAAGTTGAAACCAATGGATCGAATTTTACAGTGGATTGTGGCGTACATTTTGTGGCTAAAGAAAGGTGGATATTCACGAGTTGATTAAGCTGAGGTACATTTGATCTACATTTTGAAGAAAAAGATCAAAATCAGTTGGCCTCACTATATAGCAAGTCGGATTTATTCACTCAGAGACTTGGGTAGATGGACTGCTCTCTCGTATAGTTCTTTCATTCAAGAAGTTCTCAACCATGCCAAAATCACAATTCCAGGTATTCCGTATAAATCCATAACCTCTGATCAAGAGTTCTGCCAAAAGACTCTTACAATAATGGGATATATCTGGGATCCGATTGAAAGTCGTTATAGGTTTATTGTCAAGGCAACAATCTCTCGGTTGGAAGAATCCGAAGAGAGTGATGATCAGAACGAAGATGCATAGGAAGAAGACCAAGATGAACAGGCTGGCATACAACCAATGGAGGTTGAAGACCAAGATGATGGAAGGTGGTTTGACCAACCTCCTCCCTCAGATCATGCGAATGACCAAGGGTGGGGCGAATGGCAACATACTGGTTGGACATCATTAAGCGACAATTATAGGCCTCAACAGCATTTGGAGTATCAAGAAACTCCAAACTGGAGCTATGAGCCTCCGCTATTCCCTAATCCGCCTCAACAACACTCTGATGAACTCCTCGAGATGATGAGGACTATGCAGCTGGTACAGCACTCCTTCATGACTGCTCAAGATGAGCGTATCTCTCAACTCCAAAGTCAATTTGAGACTCACTGAAAATTTCAATGTGTTTTCCTCCGGTGTCATGAGACGGTTCAATGATTTTGTTGAAACAACTGCCAATCAACACAGGGCTCTTGCCACCAGCTTCAATACCCTAAACAGAGCGGTCTTGGAGTTCACCGAAAGAGCCGATGCCTAATTACCTCGGGAGTATCCCTCTCGCAAGCGTGGCCACCATTTTAGGGGGACCTTGAAGCTGTTGTGCATACTGCATCTTGCATATCATTAGTTTGTTTTCAATGTTGTTATGTATTATTGCACTTATGCGTTTTTTTTTCATCTAAATGTCATGGATTATGAACTTATGTGTGGTTAATGTTTTTAATAACCTAGCAATCTTTATTATTTTATTTGTGCGTGGCTTTATCTATCCTTCTGTTTTATGTTCATTAACTACGTTATATGTGGATGTATGTTAATGTATAACATGTTGCGAATGTTTTGAAATGTGTGTCTTCATTGACAAGGGTTTCTTTCTTTTTGATGTTGTCAAAGGGGGAGAAAGTGTCAAGCATTACAGTAGAACCAGAACCATCACAGGTGAAGACTGAGTATTAGCACAAAAGAGTATGTAGGGATGAAGTATACACCAGGTACTATGTGTTTTTCCATCATCAAAAAGGGGGAGTATGTGAGGGCAAAGTCTCATATATAGATGTGCTCATTTCGATGATGTCAAAACTTCATTCCATAAAAGAATATATGTTGGGCGTTATCATCTTGTCATGGTTGCATGTTTTGTCTCTCATAATTCAAATGCTCGTAAAAATCACGTTTGTTGCATATAGATAGCCAAATGTGTGTGTAACATAAGGTTCACTTAGTTGGTGTTGGTTGCTATATTATAGGTATCATCAAAAGCATCACAAAGTATGAAAATAGGCATTTTTGAGTGTTCCAGGGCTTTTAGTCGACCAAAGACCTGTTCCGGTCGACTCACACTATGTGTCATTTTTGTGTATTAGTCTTGGGAGGGCTCGCGTCGACCCTACGGTCGACTCATATTGTGAGCATTTTAATTTGACTAAAAATGAATGTTATGCGTCGACGCATGCAAAGCTCCGGTCGATGCATGGTTCTGTTTTCTGCACAGTTTTGCATTCAGGTCAGCTCAAGTCGACCCCCTCTTCTGCATAGGTCGACCGTTCGCTGTTTTATGTCAAATTTCTATTATGTCAACTGTTTTTGTGAAGTGGTTTTGTTTGTTATGTCAGTTATGTTTGGCATATAAGTTCAGTTTCTTTTTTCATTTCACAACATTGAGAAAAACAAGAAAAGTGAAATAGGTGTCGATTTGGTTCTCGTCATCTTCATTCTCTTCATAGCATTTCACAACAATCATCTTTGTTGTGCATTGTGCATTGTTAGAGGTGATAACGTTTGAAGCCGAAGATTGGGTTATCCGGTTCGGGTTGAGAAATCGACAGATTTTTCTTGAATAAAACCTTTTGGGTTTTGCCCTCCAAGATTCTCATATTTTGGGAGTTTTTGCACGATTCATCTCATCACATATTCAGCCGAGTGAAGGTAATCGAGGAGTTGGAGGTTCCGTCGATTTAGTAACGGTAAACGGAGGATTGTGAGTGGGAGTTTCGGGTTCAACACGTGGGTGATTGAAATTAGTCGGGCCAGATTTTGAAGACTGAAGGTTGTTCAAAGATAGTGCCGCAATCGGAGGTTTATTCACAACTGTCGAAGTACTTGATTCAACTTGAATCAGGGGCAAGAAGAAATAGGATCTATAACAACAATAATGTTCGTTTGTTTGATAGCTATTAGCTTCTTGTATAAACTTTCAACAAGTTATATCTATCTATTAACAGGTCTCAATTCTACTATTAGAATTGAGGGCAGACGTACCCGAGTGAGAACGACGGGGGAACTGCTTCAACAAATCGTTGTGTCTTTTGCTTTACGTTTATGATTTGAGTAGTGCTAAACTAGTTTTTGAACCTAGTACAATCATTGATTGTAAGAGGAAACTTGAGCAATTCATTCTCAAAACAGAACGGGTGTTTGATAAATTGTCTGAACTAAAAGCCTTGTGTGTTGTCTTTTCATAGTGTTAATATTTTTAAGGCATTTGAACTAGTCACACCATATAGTGAGCTGAACCAAATTGATAGTGTGATTAACAGTGATTCTCATATCTCGTTATCGGATTCCATAGGATTAACGCATATCCGGTTTTCTAGTAACTATTCGTTTTAGACATGTATAGTTCTTCGGCCGCTTCCGCAGATAAACAAAATTTAAAAACTTTTTTATTGTTAGCGCCGACTCTTTTAAGCAAGCGATCTATTCAACCCCCCTTCTAAATCTGCGTCATCGTCTAACATTGTGATGAGATATAATACATGTAGGGAACCCTCAAGATGTAGAACAATGTTTTGCCCAAGAAATTAGTCACAGATGCCCTTTGACCAAAACCCTAATCCAATTGTCCCAAATATAGGGGGACATGCTCAATGCTTGTAATCTTGATTCAAATGATTGTGAGATATGCCTTGATGATGAAAGGGTCTTGGCACAAGATTGAGCTTTGAGGATCATACTCTTCCTCTTGAGAACAAACTAAGATCCCCTGCTTAAAGCCAATATGCACAAATGATGCAAATGATATGAAACATAAGTCAAGAGACAAATTTTGGGGTGTTACACTCGAGCTCCCAAGTCGACAATGATAACGTCATTACGACTACTCATAATGACATACTACCATCAAAAGGGCATCCACTGACCATTATTATATTATGTGTTAATTGCTCAACTAAAACATTAATTTAATAAGTTACTTCAAATATAAAAAAATATTCTCCTATGTCATTAGGACACTATCCTATGTCATTAGGACTACTCAGTAATGACAAATACTACCATCATTCAACTACTATCCCATCTTATAAAATTCTACCATCATAGGCCTCCATACAACTATCCCATCTTATAATGTCATTACGACAAATATTAGCATCAAAGCCATCGACTAAACATGTTAATATCACTAGTGATTAAACACCATCTTCAATTAAAACATTAATTTATTTGATATTTAATTTTAAAAAAATTGATATTGAAAAAAATAAAAAATTTCACAAAACAAGATGTAAATCATAAATACAGTTTTAAAGATTGTTTGATAAGTAAACTAGAAAAATTAAATTTAATAAACTTTTACAACAGAAAAAGACGCTTAGTAAGTTTTCAGACTAACACCGACAATACGCGAGAGTATATCTTCAAGCACGTTGAAAATTAAAAAATGGAAATATAGTATAAGAATTATACCACAAGAAAATATATCAAACAAATTAATCAAATATGTCAAATAACGAAAAATAAATAAGTATAGAATACAAAAAATAAAAATAGAACATATGAAATACCAAGTAAAGTTACCCATTCCATTCATTTAAAATGGTTACTGCATAATGAAACATAAAGAACCATTAAACAAAACATTAAACTATCCATAGTTCTCTAAAGATAAGGATATTAATAGTCAACAAACTGAGTCTCAAGCATTTCCAAAACAAAATATAGTCAATAAAACTTTAGTTTTAATAAAACTAAAAAACAATTAACTACGGTCAGATACTCTTCACATCTAACAACCATCAAACCTCCACCTCAACTTCCTTCTTCAAAGGAGCGCTGATTTGCCAAACATAACCGTACGGATCAGTCACCTTTCCCACGCGCCCTTCACCAGCCGCGCCTTCAATGTCCACAACTGCTCCACCTTTCACCGCCTTCGCTATGGCACCTTCAACATCTTCAGTCTCCAAAGCAAAAACGACACCGTGTCCACCAGTCTTTACACTATTCCATAAAATAAGTAAACAAGTATATTACTAAAAATAAAATAAAAAATAAAAAGCTGAAAAGGACGAAAATTAACATAATAAAACAAATAAATATTACGGAAACTAAAGTACAAACAAAAAATAGCAGAAGAATGTGGAGTCAAAAACACCAATATCTAAGTTCTCAATAAAATAATAATTATCCAAAACAGATCAGATATATATGAACAAATACTTACGCATAAAATGTGTCCAAAAATAAACATAAAATAATTAAGCACAGCAGAAATGAAACAAAATGTATAAATAATGAAAAATGCTGTGGCATTTATAGATCTAGAGGAAAAATAATGAAAGTGAGAAAACAAACTTACGGTGTAGCAGAATCATCAACGCCATCAGCAACAAGGAAGGAAGAGCCAGCGATCTTGAGTTCAGCGGAGAGAACATGAGGAATCTCCTGATCAGCCTTACGCTTAGGGTTCAAGGTTCGAGAAACCTCTTCCGCACCGAAGACGTTCTTGTAGAACGCAACAGCGTCTTTAGCTTTAGGAGCTTCGACGAAGAGCTGAGGCTTCAGAGCATCGAACGAAGCAGCAGGAACAGGTGTTTCGGAAGCACCGTTTTGAACATCTTGTTGAGCCATGGAAGCTGAAACGAGAACGAAGGGAGGAGATGAAAACCCTAAGAAAGAGAAAAGGGGAAGGAGAGTGAAATGCAAAGAGTGTGAATGAAAGTGGTTGTGGTGGGACAGTGTTTTTATAGAGGTTAGAAGCGGGGGAAGGAAACGTTGCGGGGTAAAATGGGGAATGTGAAAAAAGTTAGAGTGGTTAGAACATTATTACTTTTGAAATGGAAAGGAGGAATATTGGAAGAATTCGAATCGCTTTGTCTTAAATCAAATTAAATAATATTATTAGTACTACTGTTTCTAGAGACTTTTATGAGGTTTTAATCCTTTTGTTGTAACTTGTAAGACTCTTTTAAACTTTTAAGTATATTAAATTAATTAATAATGTAGCTATTTTTTTATTTTCTTATTTTGTTCAAGGAATCTTAGTAATATTATTTAATTTAAAAAACATAAAGAATATTGACCAAAGAGTGTTTTGGATGCAAAGAGATTACTAATTGGAAAGAAAAAATAGACAATAAAAACACTCGCCAATATAAAAAGAGGGCTATCACACAGAAATAAAATTTGAAGTTATATTAAATTGTTTGTGTAAAATATTTTTGATATGTATTTTTTGAGTTATATAAATTTTATTATTTTAAAAAGTTTAGAAATGAAATATTTATTCTATTGTACATCAAAATTATTCTTTAATGTATAAAAAAAAATATTTGAAAAATTTTCTGTACTATTTCAATCTCTTTTATATATATAGACTTTTTATTTTTAAATGATGTGTCAGTTTAATTATATAATAACCTCTTCATTCTAAATATATTTTGGAGAGAGAAACACAAATTCTAAAAAGAAAAAGATAAGAGTTTCGATCTCTTGTTAGATTTGGACATAATCTTTTGATTCAATATTAATGTTGTCTTTGATTTTTTATTTGTGGGTTTTGACATAAACTTTTTCAAATCTTAGATATTCATCTATCAATGAGCAAACTTTTGACATAGTCTTGCAAGTTGATATTCACTAGTATCACTTTTATTTTATTGTGTTGATTAGTAACATGAGTATGATCAGTACGGTAAAGGTCATGATAACTTTTTTGACGCAGACGTTATTGTGAGGATGCGTGATAATAGTGATGAAGAAATATGTTCAAATACATTTGACAAATTAGTTGAATGCATGTAAAAAGGGTTAAGCGTATGTACGTATTCTGATCATGGCGTTTTATGTGAATCAATCATGAATCTGGTATGGGTCTCATCTTTGGATACCTGTTAGGTTCTAAACTCTATACATAGATTTAGGCTTAGCATTTGTGTGAGTTAAGTTCTTAATGTTATGTGTTGTTGAGTTGTGTGAGACATCACCAATGAGAGAATACGGTTATTCTCTCGACTTTGCGTTAGACATAACCTCAGTTGTGGGTGATACGTGAGGATATTAGACGAATGATTGATTTGTGTTTAACTGGTTAGAAGAATGTGTGTATTATCAATTGATGAGATCCAATCCCAACAAGGCTTTGTTTATATTTCAGTCTTTACTTTATATTTTCTATTTTTATATTTTCAGCTTTTATTTATTGTTTCGTTGATCTATCAACGAATTTTCACAACAAGCTTAGAAATATAGAGACTGTTGAACGGCGTTCTTTCCCTCGCACTGACCCTGTGGAGACGATATAAATCCCGGAGAAAATTCATCCAAAATAAAATTTTTGCTTTTTGCCACTTTACTTCAGTTCGAACACACCTCCTTGTAGGAATAGAAGTATGAGATTGTACATATTTGCTTCTGATATGACTTTAGGGAGCATGTTGGCTCAAGAGGATGAAGTTGCATTTGTAACATATTTGTAATTTTGAGAACTTGAGTTTTGAAAGTTAGTTATAAATTTTCGTTCTCTCTCTTCTCAATTATCTGCATTCTTTCAACTTCATCTTCTTCAACTCTTATGCATTAATGAAGATTCATTGTTGAACTTCAACAATTGGTATTTAGAGCTTCGGTTCGATTCACAGGGAAACATGAGTCTAGTGAGGTGTGTGATTGATTTTGTTCCAGAAATTTGTGTTGAATTAAAGTTTGAAATCGAAGAGAATCACTGATCTTGATTCTCAGGGTTAGGAAAACACTAGTGTTGATGAGAACTGAGTGATTTGCACAAGAAGGATCAGAAAGTGAAACGAGAAATAAGGATCAGAAAGTGTTGTTATATATCCATAAATGTATGGATACAAAGGTGTTTGAGAAAATTATTGATTTAACGACAACGAAGGCAGCATTAGATACACTTGTGCGGTGCTATGATGGTGAAGCATCAGTGAAGAAGGTCAAATCACAGTCCATACACAAACGATATGAGAATCTCAACATGAAGAACAATGAGGGGGTACCTGTTTACATCTATAGAGTGATTGTGGTCACAAATAAAATGAAATCTTGTGGAAAAACGCTCTTTGAATAAATAATCATTGAAAATATACTCATATCATTTACTCCTCAGTTTGATTACATAGTTGTAGCCATAAAACATTTTAAAGACACTAGCACCATGAGAATTGAATAGCTTCAGAGTGGTTTAGAGGCACAGGAGTTGTGTCTCACTAAAAGAAATTCTGAAAGGGAGTTAGAAGAGGATCTAAAAGTTCAAAGTCTGAAAGCTTCTTTTGATCAAGAAGAACCAGAAGCAAGCATGGTTAGAGAACAAGAAAAGGTATGGTGGTGGTGTTCAGAAGTCAGAACTCCCCAACTCTAAAGAGAAGAAACATAACAATGTTCCGAAGGGAAATGAGAAGTTTGATAAAAGAAAGGTTTAGTGCTATAATTGCAACAAGCTTGGCCATTTTGCTACTAATTGCTAGCATACAAGGTTAGCAAGGATGAATAAGCCAATATAGCCATATAAGATTCTGATGATCAACCTGTGTTATTGATGATGTGTTATTGATGGCATTTGAGAATGTACGTGGATCAATGGTAGATTGATGGTATATGGACATTGGTTACTCAAATCACCTAATTAAAAATAAGCAATGGCTAGTTGATTTTGACTCTGGTAAAAGGACCAAGACCATATATGTTGATGATGAGTATTTGAATGCTAAAGGAATGGGAAATGTCAGAATTAAGTTGAACAATGGAAAAAATGTATTGATTAGGGATGTATATGTTATTTATGGAATTTGAGAATGTACATGGATCAATGGTAGACTGATGGTATATAGGCATTGGTTACTCAAATCACCTAATTAAAAATAAGCAATGGCTAGTTGATTTTGACTCTGGTAAAAGGACCAAGACCATATATGTTAATGATGAGTATTTGGATGCTAAAGGAATGGGAAATGTCAGAATTAAGTTGAATAATGGAAAAACTGTATTGATTAGGGATGTATGGTATGTTCCTAGCATTAATAGCAATCTGATGAGTGTAGGTCGTCTGATTGAAAAAGAGTTTTCAATAACCATGAAGGACAATCTCTTGAAGTTGTATGATTGTAATCAAAAGTTGATAATGCATTCTGAAATGGGAAGAAACAGGACATTTAAGGTGAATGTTACAACAGGAAACACTTAATGCATTAGTGCGAAAATTGTTGAAGGGGAGAGTGAGTTATGGCATAAGAGTTTGGGGCATCTGAACTATAGAAGCTTAAGGCACCTGAGTTCAAAAAGTATAGTACATGGAATCGCTAAAATAGTAGCACCAAAGAAATCATGTGATATATGCATGAGAGGCAAGCAGTCAAGATTGTCATTATCATCAGAAATTCCTCCAAGAGCAACTCATGCTTTAAGTGTGGTGCATTCTAATGTATGTCGTCCATTTGAGGTACCTTCACTTGGAGAGAACAAGTATTATATGTCATTTGTGGATTAGTTCACAAGAATGACATGGGTAACACCCATTAAGTTCAAGCATGAGGTGTTTGTTGAGTTCAAAAAGTTCAAAGTGAAGGTTGAAAATCAAAGTGGACAAAGGTTTAAAAACCTCAGAACTGATGGTGGAGGTGAGTTCAACTTAACAGAGTTTAAGAAGTTTTATGATGAACATGGTATTAAGCATGAGTGACTGATCCATACACTCCTCAACATTATGGTATTGTTGAAAGGAGAAATAGAACTTTTCTTGACATGACAAAGAGAATGATGAAGGAGAAGAATCTACTTAACTAATTGTAGGGTAAAGCAATTGCCACATCAGCATATGTGCTCAATAGATTTCCAACAAATAAGTTAAAGGAAGTAGTTTCTATTTATAAGTGAACTAGAAGAAACAAATGTGTCATACATTTCAAGGTGTTTGGTTATGTAAGTTACAAACATATACCAGATGCTACTAGAAGGAAATTGGATAACAGCATTAAAGTCATGTTTCTTATAATTTACCATAGTATAGGTGCTTATAAGGTCTATTGCTCAATCACTAACAAAATTAAAGTTAAAATAAATGTCATAGTGAACGAATCAAAAACATTGGATTGGAGCAAGTCTCAATCCAACTCTAGTGAAGTGTCAACACTAAAGTCTACTTATACCTTTGAAGGAGATTATGCCTCTGAAGGTGATTTTTACACTAAAGGAAAGTATGAATGTGAATATGACTCTGACTTGTCACGGTGAAATTTGGATATCAAGTTATTAATGAGCTTGAATCTAATTCATTTGCAACCTGATTTGTCCAAAGGAAGAGAAAAAGATCGAAATACCCACAATGCAATGCAAATTCAAGCTAGAGAGTTATAGATTCGGGGGTTGGTTAAACTTAGGGAAGGTGCTAGCATCCTAAGTTTCTGTAGTACTCTACAGGAACCTCTTGTTTTATGTTGTTTATTGCTAAAGTTTATCTGCTTAAGGGTGAAAGACCTAGGGGTTTATTTCTAAGTATACTCGATAAGATATCGCATCTTATGCCTACACATCCTTACGGGAGTGAAATCGGAGTATCTGTAGTTCCCCTAAAGGGTTTGAGGAGTTCTTTGACTGTGGTCAAAGTTCCTACGGGTTTA